ATAGAGTGACTTACGTAATCAACATACAAGGCTACTAAACTCCCCCGAGCAACAAAGTGCTCAAATTCTAGTATAAAGTATATGGATCATGTTGGAATCAATAGATTAGTCGATATTAAACTAGTCACCCAAAAACTGGCCGGAACATGCTCATATGTCGGAGTATTAGATTTGATGGCTAAAAGTGGTCACTGTCTAAGAAATAAAATTATATGGGTAGGGTCGGAATAATGTCACAACCCAACTAGAAAATAGAAATTATGTAGGATAGTTCAAATTGATGGAACGACCCCATTGAAAAAGAGAAATAATATGGGTAGGGTCGGAATGATGGCACGACCATACTGGAAAAGAAAAATTATACGGGTAGGGTTGGAATGATGGCACAACCCTACGCAAATCAAATTTGAGGAGTCACCGGAAAGACGAATGGAACTATGCAAATCAAATCTGAAGAGTCACGGAAAAGATACACGATGCTATGCAACTCAGATATGAGAAAATAGTTCGGAAAAATCCACGGTACTACACAAATTAAATATGAAAAGTAATCCGGAGAGATGCACGGTGCTATGCAAATCAGATATGCAAAAAAGGTAGTCACCGGAAGGATGGCACGGTGCTATACAAATTAAATATGAAATGGTGATGTTCACAGTTGTTACTAAAAAAGATACATGGTGACCCAACTTTTGCTAACATAATCATTGGCCAGACGGGCAGCATATATGGGTGCCACCCACCGGCAGCGGAAGCTCTTTTGATTTTTCTACCAAGATCGTAGAGACTCTGATACCATGTGAGAAATATAGGAAAATAATATTATTAAATTGTTGTTGTGTCTACATTATTACATTGAGACCCTATTTATAGACCCTGTAATACAATTTTTTACCAAGTAGGATACTATTAAGTATTCATATTTCTATTTCTATTCCTATTCTAATAAAATTGTATAAACCTATTCCTATTCTAATAGGATTGTATAAACCTATTCCTATTCTAATAGGATTGTATAAACCTATTCCTATTCTAATAGGATTGTATAAACCTATTCCTATTCTAATAGGATTGTATAAACCTATTCCTATTCTAATAGGATTGTATAAACCTATTCCTATTCTAATAGGATTGTATAAACCTATTCCTATTCTAATAGGATTGTATAAACCTATTCCTATTCTAATAGGATTGTATAAACCTATTCCTATTCTAATAGGATTGTATAAACCTATTCCTATTCTAATAGGATTGTATAAACCTATTCCTATTCTAATAGGATTGTATAAACCTATTCCTATTCTAATAGGATTGTATAAACCTATTCCTATTCTAACACATGCTACTACATCAAAGGTGATACATGTATTCTTGATATTACAAGAAGGAGATGCCAATATATGAGAACCATCTAGTAAATAGTAATACAAGTAGAACAGAAAAGGTTTTGCAGGTTACATGCACCAATAACCTTGGAAGGAGATCAACTACAAAGGCCATCTATCTTGTAAGGAGATTGTTGGATCAGTATAGGGACAAGAAGAGACTTACATGTGGTGTTCATAGACCTAGAAAAGGCATATGATAAAGACCCTAGGGAGGTCGAGATGTTTGGAAGTGAGAAGTGTACTTGTGGCTTATATTAGGGTAATTAAGGGCATGTCAGTGCCAAGACCCGGGTTAGAACACAGATGATCAGAAAAATTTCCGGTCATGATGGGGTTACACCAGGGATCAACCCTTAGCCTATTATAATTTGTCATAGTGATGGACGAATTGACACGGCATATTCAAGGGATTACGCGTGAGGCGAAGGTGAAAGTGAAGATTGATGTACAAGTCATACCTAAGGAAGGAAGTTTCAAGTACCTTCGGTCCATAATCCAAGGATACGGGGAGAAAGATGATGATGTCTCCCATCATATTGGAGTGGATGGGTGAAATGTAGACTTTCATTTGGGCTACTGTGCGATAAGAATGTGTTGCTAAGGGTAAGTTCTGCAGAGGGGTGATTAGACCATCATTATTGTATAGGCCGAAGAAATAGCTAGTCAAGAACGCCTTCTATGAGTGTAGCAAAGATGAATATGTTCGGATGGATGTATGGGCATACTAGGAGAGATGATTAAGGATGACATTATACCCCGTAGCGGACAAGATGAGAAAAGCGAGGCTGGAACGGTTCGAGCATGTGAAGGGAAAATGCATGGATGCACTTGCACCAGTAAAGAGGTGTGAGAGATCAGCTATATCAAGAGTTAGGAGAGATAGAGGTAGGTCGAAGAACTAGGAAAAGTGATAAAACTGGATATGGCACAACTTTAGCTTGTTGAGTACATAGTCTTAGATTGGGAAGGTGTGGAGATCGAGGATAAGGGTAGAAGTTAGTAGATAGTCGAGTGTTGTCACCCTTTAGATGGGAGAGGTAAGGGCTAGACCCATCTTCTTGTAGCCAGATTAGAGCTTGTTTGGATTGACTTATAACGTATGGCTTATAAGCATAAGCTCCTAATATGACTTTTGGCTTATTTTTATTATTTGTGTAAAAAAGAAGTGCTTAGAAACACTTTTTTTCATCTTACCCAAACACTACAAAAGTGCTTAAGAGCTATTTTGCCTGAAAAGCACCTAAAATAAGTCAATCCAAACAGGCTCTTACTAGTAGTATTTAGTAATTGTGTAATTTCTTCAGCATCTAAAGTAAGGTGTTCTACTATTTGTTGCTTCATTTTCTTGATATTTTGCTCACATATTTTTCTTGCAACCCAGCTTCAAATAACTTCTCATTTGAGTCGAGGGTCCATCAGAAACAGTGTCTCAACCCTACAAAGGTAGGGGTAAAGTCGACTTACATTCTACCCTCTGTGGACCCCACCTGTGAGACTACATTGGGTATGTCACTGTTGTTCTATAACCTAGTAGAAGTATTTTCAAACAATTGCAATTTGTTCTATCAATAATACAACTAATTTAACCAATTTGGCAATTAGAAATGTGCAGCAGAAACTAAAGCTACCGAAAAGCATAAATTGATTACCAAGCCACCATAATCATCAAAAAGGGCTGCAGAGAATGTTCTGATTTTTGCATCAACCACCATATCCTCTAAACCACTAGCCATATCTCGATCAGCAAGCTTTAAAGCAAGCCTCTTTGGAGGTTTCTTGAAACCACTGCGAACAATGAAAGGTCCCAACTCATCTCCAATAACCCACAAACTAAATGGTTCCCTCGTGAATTTGGAATCAGATGTATCCCAAATGCTTTGTTCCGAAAACTGATCACTAGCAACCATATCACTGCGGATGCATCTTAAGGAACCAAAATCAGATTGATTTGGTGCTCCTTTGCAGGCTATACAACCCAAGGATACAAAGCCTGGAGGAGGCTGGGGCATCCAAAAAGATATACCATCCACTGATCTATGTTTCTTTATCTGTCCCACAAGCGTAAAGTCTGAAGGGGCTTTGTAAAGCTCATCAGAATCCTGAAGTACAATGCAAGTATTTGGAGACTCATACCCTTGAACTGCAATATCACTAAAATATACCATCCCTTGAGGAATAATAGGGCGCCATATAGATAATTTCTTTCTAGATCCAGAACCTTGATTCCACCAAATTAGCCTAAATGTAGCATTGGCTTCAAACCTGCGACGAGAGTTTACTGTAGATGACCTCTCTGATTGAACTGCGTGATTTTGACCAGACGAAACCCCAGTTTCTGAGCTCTTTGATGTTTCAGAAAAATCTCTGGGAAGCCCAAAGAAAATACGCCGAAGATCGTATGCTCTGCCGCACAACTTCAAAGTAGTCGGATCTGAAGGCAGGAAGGTACCAATGGAATTATCCACACGCCAGAATGCCAATTCGGAAGATCTGGTAGCAACACTAAGTACAGATTAGAATATATTCTATATTGAACTGAAAAGCATGTATAGTGATATTGGTAACCGCATTACAGACCGGTAAAATATGTACAAGTATGCAAAACCAATAAGTCGTATGATTTGACTTGAATGCAATTTGGAAGAAATGAGTAAGATGAGAATAAATTTGCTTTATCGCTTATATACTAGTTCCAGTACCTATGATTCCATGAATCAGAAAGAAAACAAATAAATAACTTCACATACCGATTCATCATGCCAATATAAACACAATCTCTCAGATCACATGGTGAAACTAAAGAAGCTAAGATGCACCAGGCAGACGATATTGGAGGTTCCATACTTCCAGGAGAGACTACACAGCCCACTGCAACATAACCTTTCGGTGCTTTAGGGAACCAAATGGAACAAGTGCTATCTTCTTTAGATAAACACGTGGTTGGCCCCAATTCACCATCCTCGTAGGGGGATGAGGGCCAAATGAGCATGAAAGACTCAGGCCTCTTTACTCTGACAAAGCTGGTATTCAGAGCAATGACTCCTTTTGTGGGTGGTTTGTCACTGTTGAACTAGAGCAGTTAGTATCACAGGCAAATTTGCAAAGGTAATAGAGAGAACGAATCTGGGGAAATTTACTAACATTGGTGTCAGATAGTCTCCAATTGTTCCATAACCAGGTGGAGCTCGAGCTCTCCAGAAAGCATATATTTGGTTACACGGACCTGTGATGAAACAATCAACATTATTCATCAGTTTAGACCTCTCTTTAACACAAGGGGAAAAAAATTACTCTTGGATGCACTAGTTCATACTTTTGATAGTCCCAACTTTGTCAAACTCGGAGCACACCACAGTCATTTTCTTTGATGTGGTCCTCAAAAATGCTAAGATATCATCCTCAACTGCCAAAAACAGTCTTAAGATGCTGAACGAAAAGTTCATAAAAATATCGGACACAGACAACTGTATATTTGACTTTCCAGAAGCATTAGAGAACTTCACAGAGGTATCGAAAGGTTCCACTATTCTGACTCCATTGCTCTCCATAGTTAATCCAAGAACATTTGCATTCACGTCAAATGTATCACCTTTTAGAACAATCCTGGAAACATCACAGCCAAGTTTGTTACATAATACCTTTTAAGAGAAAGCAGAGCAACAGACAACCAGGTGTCCTCAAATTACAGTTAGTGTCAAAACTATAGATAGAAGAGATATACTGATTAATTGATTATTTATGAATGCATGACACCTTTTATAGCTTAACCACAATACATATGATATTTGTCTAATATAAGATAGTATCTTACTTAAGAATGTGAGTGATTGTCGCCAAACTCTAGCATTCTAAACTAACACACAACGACGATAACAACAACAACTACTATAACGCCTCAATTCCAACACTAAAACTTGAAATTAAAGGTAATATTAAGAAAAAGTGGAAGCAAAGCCTTGTACTTATCCCCTGCATACAGCGGGGGATATTTTTTATTTCAACATTGCATTGCACTCGAGCTAGAGCTAAATCCATTAATCATTACAGTGAAAGCCACAAGGACTGATGAAAACACCAAATGTAAAATCCAAACACCTCATTGTAGTCCCCAATCAAAAACACAATGTGAAGACCAAACGAGAGATTTATCATAGTTCCAAACATAAATAAATGAATCAAATCATTTCCTGATAGCTTAAGAGTTTAGATAAGGTGATTCACACAGTTAAACTTGAGACCTGAGCAAGTGGATATCCAGTATCTCAAATAGGGAGAAGGGGCAAATAAACCCCTCAACTTGCGATTTAGAGCGGATATATCTCTCATTAAAAAGTGGTGCATATATACCCTCGCCGTCTAACAAATGGTGCATATTTATCCTTTTCATTATTTACCACGTGGCAATAACTTGTCATTATTTTGGACCTAAAGTGTAATTCGGGTCGTATTGTCTAAAGTTGGGTCATTTAAATTGTTGGCCCCATTTTTTAAACTAAAAAATCAGTTTTAGAAAAAAAAATTAACACAGTGAAGTTGTTAACGAAAAGGATATATATGCACCATTTGTTAGACGACAAGGGTATGTACACTATTTGTTAGATGACGAGGGTATATATGCAACACTGCTTTAATGTGGGGTATAACTGCTCTAAATCACAAGATTGAGGGCTATAAGTGCCCTTTTTCCCTTTCAAATATCAGTCACCCATCATCAGAAAGCACACAAACTTGGCCCATAAAAGGAAATCAAGCTCGTATATGAGGGAACGCATTGCAAATCTAAAACAAATAGAAGTGTCATTTCTCTCATAGTTTTAGTGTGTGCACAGTACGAAGGAAAATATTTTCTTGGAAAATGCTTGTTAGAAAAATAAGTGATTTTCTTACGTATTTTCTTGTGGTCGGTAAGTAAGCAAAAAATATTATCCTAAAAGAATTTGTATATAATCTAGACAATAATATGGGAGGACTACGGGGGTGGGAGTGAGGATGAGGTGTGTTGGAGGGTTGGCAGGACACAATCTTGTGGAATGCCACTTGTGAAAATTGTAATTCCTACTTTCATTGGGGAAGTCATTTTTCTTATTTTTAAGAAATTGGAAAACATTTTCCTCCACAGTGAAAACACCGTTAAGCATTTCAAAAAGACAATTAACACAACTGGACAATCTTTTTTCTTACACATAATACACCAACAAAGAAATATATCTATGTTACCACTAAACTGAAACAAATTCTGGATCATGCTTAGTCTGCCGTGAACCTCAAACCATAAAAAAATCTTGGAAAAAAGCTTGCTTTGCAAATGAAAGGGAGCATGAGCTCTTGGACACTAGAAAGACAGCTGATAGAACGGTCAGTCAGTATATTAACCTGACCAGTCTTTGGTAACTGCTCTCTCCGCCCCAATTTTATGTGATGCACTTTCACTGAGTATGGAGTTCAAGAAACAAAAACTTTTAAAATTTGTGGTATAAAACAAGTCATTGATATTTTTTTTGAGAATGGTAAGTTTTATTCATTAGCATAAAGACTATGTTGGTAGCAGTATGTATAAGCCATAGATATTTTCTTTGAGACGAAGTCATAGATATTTGTGTGGCTATAAAGCATCTCACAAGAGTAAAACAGGAAGTTTAAAGTTGAATCTATCTATCTATCTATACTACCTTAAAAGCATAAACTTTCTAACCTGAATGTTAAATTACTATAATACCCCCCCAAAAAACACCCCCTAACATAAATGTTAAATTATTATAATACCTGCAACTAAAAACACTCAATTCAATACATCTCTAAATTTATTTATTTACTTATATACTATATTAAAGCAGACACCTTTTCACATTGAAGGATTGTGACTTTTTAGAAGAGTTGTGACTTTTCCAATGATATCTTAAAAGCATGAACTCCTTAACTTGGTTGTGATTTTTCAGAAGAGTTGTAACTTTTTCAAAGGATTGTAATTTTTCCGAAGGGTTGTGACTCTGATAAGGCACAATAAGCACTTGTTCATACTATATCCTTTTTTGACTATAAATAGAGGGGTTTCCTCTCATTTTTAAATATACTACCTTAAAAGCATGAACTCCTTAACTTGGTTGTGATTTTTCAGAAGAGTTGTAACTTTTTCAAAGGATTGTAATTTTTCCGAAGGGTTGTGACTCTGATAAGGCACAATAAGCACTTGTTCATACTATATCCTTTTTTGACTATAAATAGAGGGGTTTCCTCTCATTTTTAAATATACTACCTTAAAAGTATGAACTCCTTAATTTGAATATTACATGATTATAACACCCCCAACTTAAAACACCCCTAACTTGAATATTAAATTACTATAATATCACAATTAATAACAGTCAATTGGTATATCTTCTATATTTTATATTTATGTTTATATTTTATGTTACTAGCTTCACGTCACGTGCATTGCACGTGAGTATCATATTATATAGTATACGATGTTGTGAAATAAAATTAATACTACTAAATTAAAGGTTTCTAGTAAATAATTATAATTGAAAGAACATAGGACAAATGCTTTAAATGATTAATACAGATTGTCATAAAGTTACTTGTATTTTAAGATCAAAATGAACAGATATCATTGAAACATTTCAAAATACATTCAAAGTTTAAATATGGAGAGAAAGTGACATTTCTTTAGTAGTATTGTCTTTTATTTCACTCAATTTTGTAAGTAAATTTAACCAACAAAATAAAAAGTCAAAATAAAAAAGGTCACCAATAGTCTTTCCTCTTGAGGTAATGACCATAAATGACGAACACCATTTAAGTACAATTTTTCTCTTAATATTCATACTTAAAATTTAGTATGTGCATGCTACTAATAACAATTACCATAAATATTTCAATATTTTATCTTTATACGTAGTATATCATGAATATTTGAGTAAGGCTATTATAGAGACGTAATTTTACAAAAAAAAAGTACTCTTATAGTTAAGGTCAACACTGTTATAATTAAGTAGAATGTTGTAGAGACAAAAAATATAACATCAAAATTAGTTCTATGTCGTTACAGTGAAATGTTGTAATAACGAATGATGGTGAAATAGAGGTTTGAGTGTAGTCAAATACTTAGCTTGATCAATTCTTTGTTTTAGATATACATACTTCAGTAGCATAATTTAATGTTAATATATACATATGGTGAAAAATATTTCATTTCTTTAAGTTTCGACCTTATCTTTGCGGAATTGTAATCTTTTCCTTTTTTCTGTCGGCGACATATCATATAGTTGTAGTCTAATAAAAGTATCTTGTATATTATAGAAGTTGTATCGTGATATAAAACATTAAACTTTTTCAATAAAAAAAATTAATAAATGAATAACTATATCTATTTTTATATAGCTAGCAAATAGTGTATCTTATGACATACTATTTTCTCAGATTAAAATGAACACAAAATAAGAGGAAGTTCATATTTAAAAATTTCATACTCAATATAAATATATATATATATATATATATATGGAACAATTCATAGCCAATGAAGAAGGAAGAAGAAAATATATGTTCATGTTATATTCACTCTAGTGTTCCATCTGATTGAAATCTCTTGCCACCAATACTTTACTTTCTCCGTTCGTTTGTACTAAATTATCTATTAAAAATTAATTATTATCATATTATAAGTTAAAGTGAAAATCTATTTTTGAAATAGTGGACTTAACATCAAAACTAATAACTCAATGGATTGCGCTGATGTCAATTGTTTTAGCAAAATTAGGAAGAAACTCCTTCGTTTGGGGGAAAAGAATAAAAAATGGAAAAACAAAAGAAATAACTTACCCCAATCATGTGCTTTTTTGTCGTATTTGTTTATTATTATCGTCTCTCCCACAACTTGATCTACTAATTTTATTAGAAAAACTAATCCACAATGTGTGTATTCGTCATTGTTCACTCATTATGTGAACACTAATTATTAAATTCTCTCTCTAATTAAAACACAAAAGAAATTAATTAAAGAAACAAAATAAGAAAAAAGAAATGAAAAACCCCACACGCTATATACACAAGTTTTCTGTGTGAAGAAAAGTTCATAGTTAATTGCACATTTCTCTGTTCTCTTCATTTCTTCTTTAATAGAAAGTCAATACCAAAATTTCAATGCTAAGAACCTCGACGAAACATATCAATGGTTTAGGGATAAATCACTTATGAAAATTTTAAATGATCTCAAATTGTCACAAATAAAAGATTTCCAAGAATTTATAAAGAGTGAATGGTTGTGATTTATGACCGAAGAAGCATGAAGGTTGAAATTGTGTGACTATTCGAAGGAAACAAGTCTTCTTTTAATAAATAAAATATGTAGGTTAATTAAAAGCGTATTAATGTTCTAAAATGATATAAAATAATATTGAAGTATGTATGTGATGAATATCGTAAAAGGAAAATATGAGTGTGAATTGATGAATGATTTGCTACAATTTGCTCACCAACTCTTTCTTATGTGGTACCTCAAATTTCGTGAATTTCAAACTTAATCAACTATTGCAAATAACATTTGAGATTTTTTAAGAAGAAGAAAGAGCAGAAAACTTTAAAAAATCGTAGTTGAAAAGGGGGAGAAAACCCATCTATTTATAGCTAACAAATAGTAGTATGAATAGGTGTTAATTGTGCCTTATAAGAAAAGTCACAACCCAACGAAAAAGTCACTGCTCATCGAAAAATTTACTCCTCATCGGAAAAGTCAAAATCTTTGAAAAAGTCACATCTCATCTGAAAAGGCACAACCCTTTGGAAAAGTGACAACACCGAAAAAGTCACTGCTCATCGAAAAATTTACTCCTCATCGGAAAAGTCAAAATCTTTGGAAAAGTCACATCTAATCGGAAAAGGCACAACCAACCCTTTGGAAAAGTGACAACCCTTTAAAAAAATTACAACCCTTCGAAAAAGTCACAACTCATCGAAAATGTCACAACCTGTCAAGAAAGTCACAACCTTTCAGAAAAGTCACAACCCTTTAATGTCAAAAGATATCTACTTTTAATAAAATACAATTGATTAAATAAATAAAATAAACTGAGTATTTTTAAATAGGGGTATTATAGTAATTCAACATTCAAGTTTGGGAGTTCATGCTTTTAAGGTAGTATAGATAGAAGATAGATATAGATATTATATTAATACCAGGCACCTTTACATATTGAAGGATTGTGACTTCCAATGAATTGTGACTTTTCAAAGGGTACTGACTTTCTGAAGGGTTGAGACTTTTCTGATAAGGCACAATAAGCACATGTGCATACTATCCTTTGTTGGCTATAAATAGAGGGGTACGGTGGACTCGATTTTTTATTCTTTTATTTTGGTTTATTTTTGAATATTTTTTCTTCTCTGTTTGTGTGTTTTTTCTCTCCATTAGACTTCTTATTTTCTATAAAAAAAAAATGTATTATTATTTGGGCTAAAAAATTTAGTTCAAATTCTTGAACTTTTAGAACATTTATACTATTTAGCATGAAATACACGTGCAACGCACGTGTTTGAGAACTAGTTATTTCTAATTATGAGAGATATCATTCTTGTTTGGACAAACTAAAAAGAAGAGTGCATGTCATAAATTGGGAAGGTTAATCCATTCCAGAAACCATTCTACTAACTAAAGATCTAGAAATAGTCGGGTTAAAGGAGTTCAACTGTAAGGAAGATTCATCCTTTATACAGGATTAACCCGATGATCTTTGTCCTATGGTGAACAAACATATATATATATTGACAAAATTTATAAAGCCCCACCACCACCCTGCACATTGCCAACCCGTTTTCATGAGAAGTTGGTATCACAAGTTCATTCTTCTGATTTACCTCCTTAGCAATCCAAAAAAGAGGACATGTACTAACAAAGAAAAATGCTGGAGAGACCAGGGAATAAAATAAATACAATCCATCCAATAAAAGCATACTCTTTCCAGTTTCTCTTGTCCCCATGATAGGGTCATATAAGAGGACTTCGCAACAAAGGCATCCCAAAATGTCTCTTAAATATTATATCAAACTACTCTTACCTAGAATTATTTTCAAAAACCTAAACAACAAAAGACACTTACAAGGGAACATAAAAATGGTAACCATACAAAAGAAAAAAATACTACGAGTAGCGAATGCAAATAGCACTGGTACCAATTACACAAGTTCCGCTCAAGGCTCAAAGGCAGTGTACCTTACTTTTGCCTACCCAAAACCAAGAATACGATTGTGATAAATAATTGTGTCAAGAGGTATATAAAGTCAACCAAAGGAATACATAAAGAGGGTTTACCAATATCTTGAGCTACACCGTCGATTTCCTTTAAGATTTTTGGTTAGATGCGTAAGCATTTCTAAAAGGTATCAGCATCAACCTTTTGTAAGCCTGTTCTAACAACCGTTTCACATCCAATAGACCAACACCACATTAGAACCCAAAAGTTGGGCTACATGTGAAGGAGGGAGTCGGAAATACAATGTTATAGCAAGGGAATTGAAAGATTTTTAGTTACTCTCCCGACTTATAATTTACGGCTGGATGCATAAATTCTTTCATAAAACCTAGTAAACTACACAGGATAAGTAATGCATTACCAAAACTTATGTTGACCATCACAGTAACACGGGAAAGAAGAACTGATGGAGTGGTCCAATTTCATGTGTCATACCAAAAAAGAAAAACTGGGAGAGCAGCAAATCATTCAAAATACTATGGTGTTGTCAAGTATCTCCATTAAGCATTCTTAATCCAAATCAACAGCATAATCAAAAACTAAAGAGAGCTTACTGGACGGACCTTTGTCATCATCTTATTGACACTAGAAGCTTACACCATCAAAATTTCTCAAAACTAATCGAGACAACCATTTTAGAAACTAATTCAACAAACATAGAGTCAATACTCTAACCAATCGACATATTATCAGAGAAATCATCAGTACAAATATAAGCAATATTCTAGAGAAAAAGGAAAGGTTGTGTTATTTCCTCCTCAATAGGCCTACTGAACCAACTAGCATGTCCCAAGACAGCTGATAAGAGGACTTCCATATGCAACTTGGAAGTTCCATGAAATCAGGTTGCAATATGAAAAAGATTCAATTCCCAACAGATAAAAGTAACAACAAAAACGACACACTGTAATGGTCAGTAGAAAGAACCGACCTGCAGAATGCATCCAACTGTGTGTGCAATAATTTGTTCGAAAGAGCAGCAGACTCTCCCACACTTCTTGATGTATTATAGAAGGTAAGCTCTGGACCAATAGCCTGTATTGAGTTCTCCATAAAATGTAATGAAAATACAAGTAGCAAGTTTAAATTTCTATAAAATAACTACTGTGAATTCAATATACCACAGATCATTAACGCTAAGTTTGGTCGGGATGAAAGGCTAGAGAGATGGAAATGATACAGGATCTTCATGATCATTTCCATCACTTAGCGAGGAAATGAAGGACAAGGAATAGTTAAAGTGAACAGGTTCAGTAACTGTTTACGTCAGTTTTCCAATCACTATGAAGTTAGACATAAAAATGGAAACATACCACTTTACTTCCCCTCAAGTTGAATCAAAAAGACCGTATCTACATGATAACTCAAACTACACGAAGCAAATCAAGGGGGTTTCTCCCTTTAAGCCATCCCACTCCATTGTAGAATCAAATATAGTGCTAACAAACTTCACATGCTAAAACGACATATACACAGCAAGACATATATAATGTATAATAGAGCCAAATTACTATCCAGATTGTAGACATTCTAAGGATTAAAGAAAAAGCCCCGATGATATAAATGACAGCATTTCTTCTAATGTAGATCATGTCAGTAATGATAAAAATTGGGAGAAGAAGAAAAAAGTGTGACAAAAAGTTGCTTAAAAGATGTAAATTTGGGAGTAGAAAAAGAAAGCAGACTCTGAGAAGACTGTATTTTTGGTTCTAAGAATCCTAGTATAGATAACATTTTTGTCTAGAAGGCTTTGATGATTCGTACTGTAGTCAAGATCTTTTAGAATCACAACTTCCCAACACATTTTGAGATTCTTATCTCCAAACTGATTGTGTTGAGAGGACCCATGAATCTGAACCTAAGGTCACTCATGAGATTATGGACTGTCATTCAGCCATTCCTATTTACTGGAAGGCCTAAACACAAATGCTAATTTAAAAAGAGACAAAAGGGTTGACAAAACAAAACAAACAAATAGCACCTGTTGGAGAAAGGTTACATGAACACCAGAGAGCAGCAAACATTCTTAAGTGAGTAAACCATGGTGTGTATCACAATTTAATCATAGACAAGAAGAGTTTCTCATTCACGGAGTTTTTGGATTGTAGAAACTAAGGTAAGGTGAAAGACTTATGCAGTTATGCTTACATTTGTAGAAAGGCCATACATGAACCATTTTAGTGTATTGCTTTGGAAGGAAAATCTTTTACTGATATTAATGCTACTCATATACCCTGTGTAACAGCAAAAAGTGGGGTCCGGGGAGGGTAAGTGTACGCTGACCTTACCCCCCCCCCCCCCTCGGG